ACAAAAGTATAGACAATATTGAAGAGATATAAAGATAAATATCTATCTAAAACAATTGTATAATATCGAAAACTACACCACACTAGGTAGTGAACTTAACAGACGAGTTCATATTGTTATGTAAGTTTTTAAATATTAAGTTAAAATCAAGTGAAAGTAATTCCTCGAAGAAAAAGAAAAACAGCAGGTGGAAATAGTATAGTCAAGTCCCATTGTTCCATGTTATTATGACAAAGAAAAGAATAAGATTTGATTACAGGCCAACACTATTCGGCAACTTTACCTTATTTTCTCGCCAGGAAAGGACAGTGATGCTTGCACAGATATTACAGTGAACAAAAATGTGTGCATGATTGTTTGCCAGGAAAGAACAAAGTGGAAACGTTAGAATGTACAGGTGAACATATATTTAGGCTCTCAAAGTAAAGACAATTAAAAAAAAACACACAACAACAACCCCCCCCCCCCCAAAAAAAAAAAAAAAAAAAAAAAAAACACACAAACACCCCCCCCCCCCCCCCAACAAACAAAGCAAAATGAATATAACCCCATAACTTCTAAAACTGGCTTTTATTGAATATTTTAATGCCTAAAAATTGGTTGCCGGCGTCTGCAGCGTAGTGATTTGACACTTCGATGTAGTACACAGGAGACTCAGTTCAATTCCCGAATGGGGAGGATTTTTAATCGAGTATCTCAGTCTTTCTGCTGGGACATTGTATCCCTCTTAGCCTGGGTTGACCCTGATAGCAGGATCAAAGCTCGCTTCCTAAATTTGCTAAATTGTGTCGATAGCGGCGTAAAACACCTTCGTTTAAACGAAATGAATGGATTGTCTAATAATGTCAATACTTAGTTGCTTGCCGTATAAATAATAAATACACACGTTGAGACATAAATCACAGACTGAGCTACACTTCTCTTTTTCGGTGTTATAAGAGAGCTTGACCTGTGCCTGGACATACGTTGTTGCACTGAGCACGAGATAGGCGTGGGAGCAATCGGGGCATGAGTCTGCTGAATTGATAACAAGGATGCGGACGAAAACATGTTTGTCAAATGAGCTCCAGTCTTCATTAGGGATGTGAAACGCAAGGCACATGGTCGCTTAACAGAATGCTATGGGAAAATTTAAGCATCCTCGCAACTTCGTTTCGTGACGAGTTTGGGTTAATATTAATTCAAGATATAGAAAGTATACTCATTTATACAATGACCTAGCTTTAATGAGAACAGTATATTAGTAGAGCAGGGGACCGAAAGGGTGAACGAGTGCTCCAGTGTGCATGAGGGCGTCGGGTGCATGAATTGACATGTGTGAGTGACGATATATCCGACAGAAAAGGGAGTGAGGGGTGGGGGGAATCAAGGAGAAGGAAGCAGGGTGAAAAAATGTATTACAGAAATTGTGGTGGGTATATTCCAGCTCAATGGCATTCACGTTGACATGAAGCAAGTCATCAGTTTGTTTTGGCTTTCATCATTTTCACTGAATGCCCTCCAGATCAGTATTTTAGGTAGGTGCCTAGATGGGTGTTTTTGTTTGTGCTCGAATGTGCCGTGTGTGTGTGTGTGTGTGTATATGTGTGTGTGTGTGTGTGTGTGTTTGTGTGTGTGTGTGTGTGTGTGTGTGTGTGTGTGTTTTGTGTGTATATGTATGCATGTGTGTCTGTGTGTGTAC